ACACACACACACACACACACACACACACACACACACACACACACACACACAAGCTTAACAAATCAAAATCTGATATGGCCTTGCCAATTTTAACTGTGGGAATGTTAATAAATCGTTGCCTTATAAAATTACCAAGTTTCGTCTGCCGAGTATCTAGTTTAAGAACATTGACGTACAAAAAAAGTGAGTTTCTGAACATGCCAGGCTTTGTAAAACGTTGAATGCAATTCTTTTAATGTGTTAATAACGACTCCCAATAATCTTACGATTTTGATAGAACAGAGATAGAACATTTGTGAGGCAGCGTGGTGGAATCAGGCTCTCGTCAATTTTTGGGCAGGTAGAGTTATTGGTATCATCTTAAAGCTTGTTCAATTGTCTTTATTTTGGTGGAAAAAAATATCCATTTATCTTAAATACAAGTCGAGATATCTGCGAAAGAAGGAGGTGGAGGTCACCTGTTTTCAGAGGTAAAATTAGTGAGAAAATGGCCGCCAAAAATTATTTATTTCCTTAACTTAAGAGTCCGTGGTAACTGAAAATTTACATTTTTTGTGCCTTTTATCAACGTTTTTCAGAAAAAGTTTCCACAGAGATCAGCTTTTTAATAGGCATGAAAGGTGTTGAGCCAAAAAACAAAAATTTGATAAAAATTCATAAACCTACGGAAAAATGCAAGTTTCTTCACTTTGAGTATTTTGACCAGAGCCTGATTCCACCACGCTGCCTTATATTTATTGGTTTCTGACCTCATGGTCTTAGTAACCCAAAACGACCAACGATGTCAGATAAAACGTTGTAATTCTGAGGTGCTGAAATAAGTACAGACACACGATATGTTGGATGATCGTCAGCAAACCAGATGTTTTGTTATGGCACATTTTGAACCACCGTGCATAGATCAATGACAATGACAGTCTTTACTCATCTCGCAGGGAGCAATTTATTTGTCTTGGTCGTTTACAATGGTTAGGTGCACTCACGCATACGCACAACAAGACAGGACATTAGTTAATACATGTCTCACGTGTTGAAACAACCCGCTCCCTAAAACACACACAGACACACACTTACTCTCTGCCTCTGTCTCTGTCTCTGTCTCTGTCTCTGTCTCTGTCTCTGTGTCTCTCTCTCTCTCTTTTTCTCTCTCTCCCCATCT